CCTCATTTGTCACAAAAACGCGCACACACACACACACACACACACACACACACACTTACACACAGGTGAGGGGGTCAAATCTGTAAACTGGGTCCAGAAAAGGTGCTGAATTAGAGCTTGTTTATATTTTGTGGCTCTACAGTGCTGTTTGCAGTGCTGTCAGTGCTGTGCGTAGTTATGATGTAGACTGTGTGCTCATCGGCTTGGCGGGGGCAGACATCAGGGGACAGATGAATGCCATTTTTCATCATATTCATCAACCACTCCATGCTGATGGGTTCATTACCATCAAATTAGAGATAAAAATCGTGCTACTGCCCTGAAATGATGTGGAAAGGCAGCGCTGATAAGATTAATGATGAATACATTAGCGTTGAGCTAGCCATAAGACACATCTCAGATTTCTCGCCATGAGCACACGCTGAACAGATACCACTTATAATCGAGTCGCACCAGTGCTGACATCATGCTAGAGTACGGCTTTCTCTCACACACACACACACACACACACGTAGATTATATCCTGATTGAGTGTTCAGGCAGTTTGAATTGACTGAGTGAGTGGCTAACATTTATCTCATGTCTCAAGGCTGTCATTAAATAGATTCTCTTGTCTGATTAGTTAAACATGATATTGAGCTGTTTGGATTTCCTCCAGCCAGGATGACAAATGAGCCGGGTCATCTTACACAGCCAGGCCTGAAGAGGGCAATGTGTGCTTGTGTCAAGATTAGGCATGTTTCTCACACATTTCAATAAATGACTGCAAATTCTGCCTAAATGACTGCCTATGCTTTTTTTTATGTTAAGCCTAGTTAATATTTAACTTCTGTGATTCTGTTTTGTACAGACCAGTTTTGATATGCTCTTTGCAGTCGTTGTTAACATGCAAGTGCTTTAAAATATATCAGCAAAGCAGAAATTAATTAAAAAACACATTTAAACCTGTAAATCTTGGCATGATATAATAGTCAGAAAAATCCATTTAAAAAAAAAAAGGGAACACAAAAAAGTATTAAAAAAAATTTCAATCAAAACGTTTGCGTAAGTGATTTATATTTTGTATCATATCTGATACATCAGGCTTTTATGGCCCACATAATATAGTGAGAATACAGTGCTCAAAGCTCTGAACTTTTTTTAATTGTTTTTATATATATATATATATAATGCAATACAATGATGATTGAGAGATGTACAACTAAACGTTCCTCAATAGCCTGATGTATCATGTTTGATACATGTTACCATGATTTTTTTTTTTTTTCAAAATTGTGTATGGATTGCTTTCCCCAACCGAGACTCATTATAGACCGAGAAAAATAAAAAAAAATAAAAAAATAGGCATGAATAAGATTGTGTACAACAGGTTTCTTTCAGCAAAGTTTTGATCATGTTGATAATTTGTAAGCCTTAGAAATTAATGTATCAAATATGATACAAGAGATTTTATAGGGTTTAAGATATCTGACTCCTGCCATAAAACATAAAATAACTTCCTGTAAGTCCATATATGTGTCCAAGACTGTGTCTTGATATTTTCCAAAACAAGTGCTCTAAAATATACTAGCAAAGTTACTGTAAATAAACGAAAAGTGTAACATGATCATCTGCATGCCCGCTTATGAATCATTGTGATTTCTTGATCCTGTCAGTTTATAGCCATTTAAAACATGGGCAGTTGTCACGAGTAACCTAGCGGAAAGTAGCCTAAATGGAAAAGTTGGTTTTAAATAGTTTTTGGTAATTACCATGAGGTTAAAGTTAATATATCTCACACAGCAGGAGGGTTTTATGGCCTTTTGCTTTGTATTGCCTACCCAGTTACCCCAGCACTCAGAGCGCAGGCAGACATGCGAGAAATTAAAAGTGAGGCCGAAACAGATTACTGCTAAGTGCTCCGATGTTCAGGCGAGAGAGGAAAGGTGGACACTAAAGGACTTTTAGAGAATCGGAGGACATCCGTATAGCCAAATAATAGATAAGGAAAAAATGGTCTGAAAAGAAAGAATCTCATATCTGTAATGGTCAGTCGTTCAGGTGCTGTGCCTGGACCATTGAGTTTTGTGGTCCGATTCAATTTCCGATATTTTATTGTGGCACTGCCACTCCATTAAGACTCATTTCCTTCTCACCAGTAGTGACTTTGGGGGACCCGAGGAATTTGAAGGCCAATTGACTTTTAATATGAATCACGCTGTGATCGCCCCATTCTCGTCCCCCGCCTACAAATTAGAAATGGCAAACAGAGTGTCCCCATCAAAACGCTCTTTTCATGTTTTCCGTTCATGCACCAAAAGTTCCCCGGCTCCACCCCTACTGCAGCAGTGTGTGTGTTTGGGTTTCTCTGTGTGTGTGTGAGTGAATGGATCAGGTGACCAGGTAACATATTGCAGTATATATTGCTGTCACAGACACTTTTGTTTAGGCTTTCACATTTCAAGAAGACATTATGGAGACAAATGAAAACTTTGTTTTGTTTTTTGTTTTGCTTTTTTTTGGTAGATTAACTGCACTTCTAAAGTCTTTCTTTAGCGACCTAGAGTGTACAAATGAATATGCAAGTAATATAAGTTGGATTATATATTATTTAATAAGTTATGATGGTTTTATACTATTGTAAATGTAGCAAAAATGTAACCTACCTATGGAAAATAAAATGAAGATGATTGATTACTGTTATCTAACTTGTTAGTGAACAAAAATGCATTCATCCTTTCATTTACACTGCAAAAAAATAATGTAGTACTATTTTGTCTTATTTTCCAAATATCTTCAAAACAAGATAAGTTTAAGCAAAATTTAATATTAAGGTTTTTAAGAGAACATGTTTTCCTTGTTTTAAGCAAAAATATAACAATTTGAGGCTTATGCTTAAAACAACACTTCTTGAACTAAATCTTTAACTTATGCAGGTTTTCTTTTCAAGTATATTCATCTTTTTCTAAAGATGTTTATGTATTTTTTTGACTAAAAACAGGACAAAAAAGTACTGATTAAGAAAATAAATTTTGCGATGCATTTTGAGTCTTGCACTTATACACTGTAAAAAATTACCCACATCCCACTACTGTACACAACTTGTGACTACATGGAGCTCACCATGTCAGCTTTATATTGCGCCCCCTACAGGAAACACCTGCACAGTGCCTGCTGCCAGTCCCAAGGCCCTGAAGCACAAATTCATTAGTATGCTCAGACACTCTCTCAGTGTGTGTGGCAGGAGCGGGAGCAGGCCGGCGTGGAGCAGAGGGGAGACAGTATTTTATCCACGGTTGCCAGTATTATGAGGCTGAGCGAGAGATTCACATTAATGTGTTTCGTAATGGGAAAGTCAGCGCAGCAAGATGATACCCCGGAGCCACGCCGCTGATTGGCTGCAAAGCTGTATTTATATATAGCAGAGTGAGTTCACTTTTAGTTCAGCACTGAAGAAGAGAAACAGGCCTGCCTGACTGCCACTTCATCTACTGCACAGAACACTATAAACTTAGCCTGGAGTTTAGGACTGCATACTTGGCCATGTGTGCTGTGCAGTAAAAAAAAATTGATGCCCATTTTCAGTCTTTGAAGTTTATGCAAATAACAACTCCATTGACCTTGGTGGACTTTAAAATGATCGTATTATTTCATATTTTTAAGATGCTAACAAGTTGTGTAAAATTGTTCCTTTCTCCCCCTCTGAATTTAAACGGAAAAATAATGTTAAAATGTTTATTGTTTTAGCTGTAAAGTACTTTACCATATATTGTGGAAATTTATATTTGACTTAACAGAGGCAAGTAAAATACTATACAAGTTATGTTTTTGCAACTAAAGTATAACTATAAATAAATAAGTAAACAATTTAGTCAATCTAAAATTATATTCAACAAAACAATACAGTTCGCTCTAAGACGCACGGGTGTAAAGCATCACATTTGATAACATTTGATTTCTGTTTCTGTTGTATTCTTTTCAGTTATGTGTATTAGAATAGTGTTTTAAGTTGCATGTTATGTTGTTTAATTGTTTATTGTTTTAGCATATCAAGTTTGGGGTCAGTAAGATTTTTTTTTTAATGTTTTTTCATGTTTTTTAATGTGTATCTTATTCTCAACAAGGCTGCGTTTATTTAATTAAAATACAGTAAAAACAGTAATATTGTGAAATATTATTACAATTTAAAATGTAATTTATTCCTGGGATGGCAAAGTTGTAATTATTACTCCAGTCTTCAGTGTCACATGATCTTTCAGAAATCATTTTAATATGCTGAGATGGTAGTCAATGGACATTAATTATTATTATTATTATTATTTAATATTATTTTATTATTATCAATGTTGAAAACAGTTGTGTAGCTTAATAGTTTTTGTGTAAGCAGCTGTGGAAATTTAGAAATCTTTTGTAACATTATAAATGTTTTACTCTCATTTTAATACAACAATTTGATGCATCCTTACTGAATGCACATTATATATATATATATATATATATATATATGTATGTATATATATGTATATATGATTTAACAAACTTTTGAATGGTATAGTGTTACTGTAATATTCCTTTGATGGAGCCTTATTATCATATTATAAAATTTAACAGGATTGTTGCAGTTTATATGACTTGTGTTCCATATTCTACGTTTTCTGAAGCCGAAATCCTTCCCTCTGCCCCAGCCTTCACATTAATATTCACAATCACATTTATATCAGAAGAACCATTCGGTCTTATGTGTCTTTTTACTAATTCACCATTGAATATGTGGAATTATGGCTTGTGAGAGTTACTGTGAAGCCTAAAGTTCAGTCTGTTTCTCACATAAAACTATCATATAGTTTCAGATGACTCTTTTAATATGCTTTTTTTGTCGTTTTTGTAGCATGACATTGTCTTTCTGTGAGGGAAGGACACGAGGGTGAGTAAATGACTGTGCAATTTTAATTTTTGGATGAACTTATCCATTTAACTAACTAACTACCCCTGAGTTAGTTATACACCTCTTTGCTGTGTGCGCTCCTATATTTGCACAGCACGCATTCACGCACCAACAGGACTTGGGTACTGCTACAGAAATAAAGATGAGACAGTAAATAGTATGACACTAGACAGTGGTTTCCCCCTAATCAGCTGAATCCACAGTGCCAAGTCAGAGTTTCTGCCACTGAGGAGAACACTGCATCATTTAAAGAGGAACTCCCCTGGACATGCCTCAAAATTACTGTACAAGAAAAAT